CTTATGTCGCTAAAGTTTCGTCGGAACGAAGTTACGGAAAGTTAATTAACAAACGGAGACGTAACAGCCGCAAAGGTAGACAGACGTGTTAGTATTCTATTTTTTTAATTTGTTTTATTGAACTAATTAAGAATAATGTGGTAGAAAAACAATTTCAGTATAGCATGCTTATGTTATCAAGAACTTAGACCTAATTGTTCACTTGCTTTATCACCTTTTCGCATGTAAAAGTTTAATATTGCACCTTTTGATCTGTATTATGCATATAAATAGCATTTCAGATAAACTTTTGGTATTAAACAAAAAGTTCTCTTGGCAATATCTGTGGCAGACAGAAGATAGGTTGGCATGCTATGTTCACACACACTGACTTTTTTTTTTTTGAGAATTTCACCCCTGCATCTATAGATACTGTTACACATAGACTTGTTTGCCATCAGTTGATAATTGACTGAACATGAAGCCCAAAGATCACTTTTTGGCAAATAAAAGATGGATATTATTTTTTTTGTGCTTCTCTGATTTGAAAACTATAATGGGCAATTTCAGATAAATGTGAAAATAAGTTTGCAATATAGGATGTTTTTATGTCAGATATTGAATTTGCTAATTTCAAATGAAACTAAAAATATTTTTTACATTTTTTTTGTGATATATAAATGGTGCTGACTCAGTACTGTAAATACAATTATGCAGTTACAGTGTTAAATGTCAAAAGAAATGAAATCATCTCATTTAAAATCTTTAAGAGCTGATGTACATTTCTTGTTTGTTTTTAATTTGAATAAAGGATAAATCGACCATTTATTCCATTTTCAATGGACAGCACCAATTTTTCATATGTATATCCTAGAAAATTTCTGACTATCTAGTATGCTTAATTGCAACATTTTTTGATATATAACCAATAAACATCAAAAGATGTTCACACACTTAAAAACCATTCCCAGCTTTCATGTAGTATCTTGTAACATTTTTTTCATCTTTACTGACCCTGCACCAATGTAGAATATAGAAGAAGACAGCAATTTTCATTGTAATTCACCCAAATGCAACTGCATGGAAGTAGAATTGACAAGAATTGTCTTGTTTTTCATAATTACCACTTTACTAATGGGATATCTCAGAAGTGTTGTCAGACCTTTGCTGTTTATTATTTACATCCACAATTTAGATAGTTTATTGGAAATTAATCCTTCAAAATATTCTTATGTGACAGAGAATCTTAGTTCAAAACTTTAGTCCTTGACAGTTGTGGAGACTAGGTTAAACATAAAATACAAGTTTTGATATTGAGTTATAAAACTTTTCCAAAGAAGTTATGAAAATTTGAAGATGACTCCTTGTTTGAAAAGAACATTGGTGTTGTAAAAAAAGAAATCAACAAAACTGCATATCTTTGCCTCATTTGTTTTGCTTGTTATTTATTTGTTTTCTTCTTTTATCCATACACTTGGCTAGTGTAGTAAGTTTAGGTTTTATTTGGCCTTATGGGATGTAAAACTGTCAGGGTGATATTATAGTTCCATTTAAGGAAAAAGGGAAGACACTGCTGATTCGTTAGATACTTTTCTTTACATCTTTTGCACTGATGGGACTCTCATTTACTTCATTCCACTTGACCAGTTGGACATTCAGTTACTCTATGATGCACATTTTCATATTGTTGGTTACTAAAGTTTTGTATTGATTCTCCTTTAAATTTGATATTTTGTACAATAATAGAAGTTCCATTTTATATAGAGTCTTATTATATCTAAATGTGAATTGAAAAATAAATAATACATTGTTAATAATATGTAAGATAAGTACATTAGCTACCAAAAATTTTGAATGCTAATTGCTGTTATTTCACAGGATTTGAATGAAATTTCAAGAAAATATCCAACTGTAAATATTCTTAAATTAGGTGAGTGAAACATATTCAAGTGGTTGATCAATATTTGATAATTGTGCATAGAACATGTAAAAAGAAAAAATAATGAAAGAGGGTATGAACAGTGTATTAATCATAAGATAGTTTAATGTTTCTATCCTAAAGATCCGCCACATTTGATTACTAGTTTGTACATAAATAGTTGCTTCAGTGAATAAGAAAAGGACTTACTTTCATTGCTTAACCACCTCAATTAGTGTTATAAAACCAGATAGTGTTTCTGCCATCTATAATCAGTCAACAGAGTTAGTTATATATATAACAAAGCTTTATTAGAATATTAAAAACAAAACATAAAGATTTTGTAATAAGGTACCATATTTGCCCATATATAATGTGCACCCAATTTTGTAAGGTTAAATTGAAGAAAATTTGTTTTTTTACACATCAATTGTACAAAATGTGTTGAATATTTCTAAATACAGTAAACAGCTATTGACATATTAAACATTTTTGGAAATCTTTCGTTGAAATTATTTTTATGTGCCAATTTTACAAAATTTATTGAAAAGTTTATACATGGTAATACACTAAGCTAATCATTCATCTTCATATAACTCTTTGTCATCGCTAGAACTGACACTACCATCAGATTTGCTTCCTTGAACCTTTGCCTCATCCTCTTCTGATTCCCACAGCATGTCATCATCCATTGCATTGGATATGCAACATTTTTTGAAAACCTTTAATGATTTTTGATGGTAGCATCGAGTAAAATACCTAACAAAATTGAACATGCGTGAATATAATGTGCAGTCAATTGTTTAGGAATATCTGGAGAAAAAAAAGTGTGCATTACATTCAGGCAAATATGGTAACAAAAGTGACAGAGAACAAATGAATCAGTAGTTATTGTTTCATATAATATATGACAACTATTTTACTGATATGAAGGGTGTCAAAAACTAAATTGTGATAAAGATATAAACTTGATATCCTGAGATGTTACTCAAAATGATGCTATTAATAGAGGCTTGTCTTTCTTTTATTTGGCAATTCTCTTTGATTAAATTTTTGAGAGGTCTGTAAAGGAGCAGTTAAAGAGCATTTAAGATTTTCAAGTTATATACTTTTAAGTTTCATAACTGTTACCAGAATTATGTTGACAAAGCAGTGTGGTATTTTCAGATAAAACTGATTTCCCAACAAGTATCAGACAGGTAAACCCACATTAACAGCAGATTTGATTAAGAAATGAGGGGAGTGTTCTGTAGTTGATAACTTGACTGAATTTTTAGCTGCCTGAGAAATAAATAAATTGGACATGCTTAAGGGACAGTGAAAATAATCCTCATTTAGACACAATGAAAAGTGTGCATACATCTGTAGACAAGTGGACAGTTGCCTCTACTGGATCAGTGAATAGCTCATCAGCTTTTCATCCCTCTAGATGAATCCCTGCTGATCTAGTCAAGATGAAAACCAAGTAGAACTGAACAAAGAAAGTGTACTCACTTTCTTCGTCCAGTTCCCTGACAGCATTCATCAGTTGTCATTTTCAGTTGATGTCATAATTGGCCAGCTAAAGATATTTTAGTGCTAATCTGTTTTATTCAGAGTCTACATACAATACTGAAATATCCCTGCAGGCAAAGGAGATGTCACCTACTTAAAAACCAAAAATTGAAGCAACTAGAACAAAACAAAAGTAACAACTTTCTGGACCATGTGACAGTATGGAAACTAAATAACTGGAATTATTTTTTTAAAGTTCTGTGTCACTATACATGGTAGAAAATGTAAGACATGCCTGCAGGTAAAATATTTTATTACATCATTACTCCACTTGGATAAAGTAAAACTTTTGTGATTACGATAAGTGCATTTAAAATATTTCCCAAGAATATTTCTGGTTAATTAGTTATCCTGAAAATCTGGGTTTATTTGATTGTAGAAAAAAGTAAGAAAATGTGTTTTATGAAGGAGATACATTTTATAGTAATTATTTTTTCTTTAGATCTTCTAGACTATGATTCATACACAAATGTGGTAGAGAAAATTAGTGAGATTGTTGGTCATCAAGGACTTAATGTTCTAGTAAACAATGCTGGTATTAACATCAGAAGATCATTGGATGAAGTGACCCAGAATGATATGATGAAAAACTATGAAGTCAACGTAGTCACTCCTTTAATATTTACCAAGGTATCCAGAATAGCTCTAATGTGTGTATATATATATTTAGGTGTTTAATAATACTGACACACTCAAGCTTCCAGAATAAAAAAAATGTTTAGCATGAATTTTCAAGAAATCTGATGAATCTGAAACATTTACCATCAAAACTTAAGTTCAGATCACAACTTAATGTTTGATATGTATCGTCTTATCCTTAGAGCTTGTAGCTATGAAAAAATGTAGACGATTCAAATTTTTGTATTGTTTTCTTTACTTGATATTTTTTTTGCTGCAGAATCAGAAATGCAAATTACAAGATTGAATTCTCTCTGTCTCCTTTTATTTTTAATAGAATATTGAAACACTCCTTAAATTAGATAAATAATAAAGAAGAACATCTTTTTTTGCAGTACACCTTGTTGAGTTCAATATCCACAACAGAGGTTGGGTGATGTGGTGTATATTTGATTATATATATGAAACATTGCAGAGTTCCTCATGATTGTACTACTTAGGTTTTAAATAGAGCATACTTAATACTTCACAAATACCCTGATATGTTTTATTCAATTTGCAACAGTTTTAAAATATGCTACATATGAGTTTCACCAGACGATATGTTTTACTAATCCATTCCATATTTAAGACACTGTCTTTGTTAAAGGTCATCTGCTAATTTTCTTTCATTAAATATACAGTAATAGGCCTAATCAGTTTCAGTTTTGTCTGCCTTAATTAGAGATAGAATCAATCATATTTGACTAGTTCATTCTTTCTTCTTTTTTTTTACTCTTCTAACTTAAAGATTTTAATTTATTTTACTTTAAATTAGAATGTTTAGCTGACTAGTCTTTTAAATCTTACTGGCATGACACTTATGTAACCAGATTATTTCACCCTCAGGCTGTTTTACCTTTGCTGAAAGCAGCTGCAACACAAAATGATACAAAGCCTTTTGGATGTTCTAGAGCTCTAGTAGTGAACATCTCTTCTGTACTTGGATCAATCCTTTCAAATGATTCTGGTGGACTTTATCCCTACAGAGCCAGCAAGGTAGATCAATTTTTTTTATTACATACCAAAGTAAGAGATTTTTTAAAGCTATGTACAATTCAAAAGTAATTCTTTTTATGAGAGATTGCCTTTTATTGTTACCTGATATCAAATTCCCACTAGTTTGTTTTATATTTTCAATAGTTAAACTAATTTATTATATTTGTATAATATTTAAAATTAATCAATAGTACAACATGAAACTTGAACACAAAAATTACTGAAAATTGATACACAGTTTAAATGCCTTTTTTTAGATGAGATTCACAGTGCACACTATGTTTATCATTTATTGCACTCTTGAATAATAATAAACAAATCAGAATACAAATAATATTAATGTCACATTAAAGTTTACAAAAAATATTTCCATTATAAAGATTTGTTATATTATGTAAAATGAATTCTGAAAGATGATTGTGCTCTTATTTCTCAAGCCAGTATATCCACTGACTTTAATTAATTTAATCTTTAAAAAGAACAAGTGTTTATTGTTTTTGATATTGTAATTAATGGTTAGTTGGCAGCAGTTTATTCATGTTTTTACAACATACTTTATTTGTTTTTGTTTTTCAGGCTGCTTTAAACATGATTTCAAAGTCCCTAGCTGTGGATTTATATTCTGATGGTATCCTCTCTGTTTCAATCCATCCTGGATGGGTAAAGACAGACTTAGGAGGACCTAATGCTCTTATTGACACAAGCACCAGTGTTGAAGGAATACTGGGAACTATTTTGAAAGTTAAAGAAAATGATAATGGACTGTTAATCAATTATGATGGTAAAGTTATTCCATGGTAAACTCAATTTTTTCTTTTGTAGAAAATGTATTGTCAATATTGGTGGAATTATTTTTACTTTGCTATGCAGCAACTTTGTGCTGACACAAAACTCTGACCATAATAAAAGCTCTTTTTATTTTTGTTTGTTTGTTTGTTAGAAGTTAAGCACAAAGCTTCACAATGAGCTATCTGTGCTGTGCCCACCATGAGTATCAGAACTCGTTTTCTAGCGCTGTAAGTCCGCTGTGCCTCTGGGGGGCTTTTATTTTTGACAAAATGTTGTTGATCATATGTGAATTGATTGAAGCAAGTTCACTACAGTGTGTATAATTATTTGAAAGTATTTTCTTGTCTGTAAAATTAGTAAAAAAAATGTGTCTGATGCTCATTTTGACTTGATAATGGGTTTAAAACAAAAAATAAGAATATTTGTAGTTCTAACTCGTGTATGGAGCATGAAATAAACCGTCAAAAAAACAGTTGCATATAAAACTCACCCACAAAAGAATATATCAAGTAAACACCACAATTAATGAAAGAAAAGAAAAATAATAATATTGAGAAACTTAAAACTTACTTATAACACAGACTAGAACATTCTCTTGTCTCTTCCCCCTCCCATACTTGTAATTACTCTTTCTTATGTTTCTCAACTACAAATAGAAAAATGTTGAATTCACATTTGTTCATCAGGTGACAAGTATCTTTTTTTTCTTTTTGTATATGGAAAATAGATAATTTGACTAAATTTTCATTAATACTAAAATCATGGGCTTTTGAGGGCTAGTGGTTAGTGTTCTGAATTATGAATCTGAGGGTTCATCATTCATTTTCTGTTGCCACTACACTATGTGCCATTGGTTCATTATAAGAATAATAGTCAATCCCACTATATGATCACATGGAAGTTCACTGTGGGTGCTGTTGACTAGCTATCTTCCCTCTAGTCTATCAATTAAAAATTAGACACAACTAACTTGTGTAGTTATGCAAGAATATCTCAAAGAAAGTAATATATCATAACATAAAACAACAATGGTGAAAGAAGGCATAGTCATTCATATTATAATATCAGCTCAGAAGTGTCCCAGTTGTGTCAAATGATTGTTTAGTAACACTACCAGATCATCATTATATTTCAAATAATTTAATATAGATGTTGCTGTTTTGATTAAACAAACTAATGTCAAAAATGCTGTTTTATATGTGTGTGTGCATCATTAAAAATTAAAAAAGTACAAAGTATATGCTAGATCTTTGGTCTCGATAAAGTGAATCAGTATTACGTCAGGCACAGCATGGCCAGGTGGTTATGGAGCTTGACTCACAATCTGCGGGTCGCAGGTTCGATTCCCCATCACATTGAACATGTTCGCTCTTTCAGCCATGGGGGCGTTATAATGGGATGGTCAATCCCACTATTTGTTGGTAAAAGAATAGCCCAAGAGTTGGCAGTGGGTGGTGATGACTAGCTGCCTTCCCTTTAGTCTTACACTGCTAAATTAGGGATGGCTAGTGCAGATAGCCCTCGTGTAGCTTTGCATGAAATCCGTAACGAAAAACAAACAGTATTACATCAAGAACTACATTAAATCTTCTTATAAAAATACAAAATAATTTTATGTTATTCACACATTAAAATTAAGTAATCCAACTAAAACTAATCAAATACTGATACTTGTAATTTATGAAGGAAGTTCAGCATGTACATATCTGTAGCATTACCTGTACTATTATTTGGATCTTTTCATAAATTGTGTGCAGACTAAAGTAAAATAATGTTGGTGACTTTCTAATGATGTACCTGACTTATTTGTATTTAACAAGATTTTAGAATTGACAGATGATTGGTAGATGAACAACGTGCCTTATTACATAAATAAAAAACCTCAAAATAGTCTATAATAAATTGCAATACAGTTCATAACCATGGCCTAAATTTCAGTACTTTAAGGTTTCTAGCATAATATATATAGATGATCTTATATTAACCCCATTGTACTTAAACATATGTAATTAAAACACAAGAACATACCAAACGAGGTAATTGTTACAACCAGTGCCAGATTTAGACTTGGTGAGGCATTAAGCTATATAAAGCTTGGAGGCCCCTTATTAAAAAGTTACACCAGAAGGTCTCACAAAGGTGAGTACCAAAACAGAACCTTGGGTCTCCACAAAAAAATTAAAAACATATATATATCCTTTTTAATTATTTAATAGCAAGGTATTTAAAGTGAAAAATTACATATTTATCATTTGGCTGGCTTGATCTCTCTCATAGATGAAATTTAAGCAAAAAAAAATCTGACATTTTGTGAGGCCCTAAACTGTAGCTTGTTTAGCTTATGCCTAAATCCGGCATTGATTACAACAAAGAGTTACAAAGCAGGTGAAAATTTTTTATAGTGAACTTGATGAAGATTGGCCTAAGTGCATTGAAACATCTCTCTTACACGGGTTTTCAATTATTTTGTTTATAAACTCTTCATACACTTCAGTATGATACTGAGAAACAGAGTATTTAGGAATTAGAATGGTAGTACTTCGGGGCATGTTGAATTATGTAACATTCATTTATTTCATTCCTTCAATCTTTCTTACGGTTTCAATGAATCAGATAAATGGAAATAACTTTATACGTTTTACAAAGGTGGATTAAAAACGTTTGTTGCTTATATATTTTCAACTATATGTAAATGATCTTGTCTAAAATTTAAAAACTTTGAAGGAACGTTAAAAAACGTGTGTAAAAAAAAAAGTTTGATGATTTGCAGAGAATATAAATAATTCGTACGTGTTTATTTCCACTGTGGATTGAGGTTGGCCTAATGTTAGTATGTCTGACTACAGATCGAAGGGTCGTGCCGCTGAACTCACTCCATACTTGTATTAGTAATGTAATATAACCCAATAAAGGATTTATTTTTAAAAAAGTTGTCAATCCTGGTATTCGGTTAAGAAGAACCATGTGGTGGCGGTGGGTGCTTCTGATTGGTTACCTTTCCTCTGCTCAGCACTTCGAAATTAGAGATATTGTTATGCCTTAAACAGGACATTTAACCATCTATCGCTTAAGTTATAGAAACCACATATTTCTGTTACATCAACGGGGTTTTTTTGTTTTTTTTTACTGTAATCGAACGTGAAGAGAGAGAGCCCTTAGCAACCAGCAGACTATTGTCTTCTTTTATGTGTGTGTGTGTGTGTAGTAAAAAGAAAGAGGTTCTACATGGTCCAATGTAGAATTTTTTTTCCTTCGGTAATAGTAAAACATAAAGACTTTAATTACTTGTTTAACGTTGTACTGAGTATACAATATTTTTTCCGCTCGTTTCTTGGGACTATACATACCTCATATACTTTCTGAAAGTTTAAGACGCATTATAAATGTAAGCGCAAATATTATTGACGATTTAAACTTAAATAGAACGACAAAACACTTTCTGGCGTTTCACCAGATGGCTAGTCTAGTCGTCAACCATATAGGACAACTCTCAGATTGTAAATAGGACGGCCTAACCATTAGGCCATACCAGCTACTGGGGTTAAATAAAGCATATGTTGCTTGATTGTTTATTTTTACCGTAGTACTTAATAGTAGGGATCAACAAGGATTCCAAATAATTTACCGGCCGAAAAACCGTCCATTCAAAGTATTGGTTACGATATATTATGCTCATATATATTAATAATACGTTTAAAAGGTCGTAACGTTTCCGGTAAAATAATCACAAATTTCTAAAGCAGTAACTTTTTCGTCTACAACTTACCTACGTGATCTTGTCAGGGGGACTAGCGCCAAGACAGCTACGATCATCGCTATAAGATTTTTCCAGCGCACTTAACTGGTCTGTGGGTATCCGCTTTTGATATTTCGATAACCCCCCCCCCCCACTTTATATATATATATGGTAAACATATT